ATTGCCCCCAACAACAATCCGGGTCCTCATTTTACCCACCTCGGAAGGATGGAAGGCTGAGTCAACCCTGAGCCGGTGAGATTTGAACAGCCGAATTGCAGCACTGAAGTAGCCTGCAGTGCTGCAGTTAACCACTGCGCCACCTCGGCTCTAGGTGAGGAGGGTGCACAAAGCTACAAGGGGTTTACATGGGTTCGGGTGATCCTCCAGCTAATATTCTGCCCAGTTCGGCAAACCCCAAATGCCACTCCTGGCTGGCCACACTCACCCACCCCACCCCTCCCAGGAGTCTCCACGCGGCCCGGTCATCATACCAGGTAAGTGCAGGGACCGCACAGAAGCATGCGGGGTGGTGGTGGAAATGGGCCTACCAGACGTTCCGGAAGTCCAGAAATTGACCTGTTTCCAGCCTCTGAGTCGGCCTCCAGAGCCCGGGGGAAGCGGTTTTTGCCCTCCCAGAGGCTTGAGGAAAGTCTCCGGAGCCCCCCACCCCGCCGTGGTGCAGGAGGCCGACTAAGCCACACCATTGCAGCAATTTTTGAAGCCCACCCTGGTCAAGGAGTACAGGGATGCCCAAGTGTAGGTAAGGAAACATCTCTGAAACTATGATCCAATGGGGCTTACATAAATACCACTGTATCCAAATCATATCTGTATTTTATAATGAAAGAGTCACATCTTATAATGAAATAATTCTGGGGACAGGGGGAAGTCTCAGAATTGACTAAAAGGGTTGGAAAGTAACTGTAGGCAACAAGTCCGAATATTCAGTGGAGTTTAGTATACCATATTTTTCGGAGTATAAGACGCACCAAGGTTTTGAAGAGGCAATTTAAAAAAAAAAGTTTTTGTACTCTGCAAACCTCCCAAAAACGGCGCGTTTTTCTTTCAAAAAAAGGGGCATGAATAGCCCTAAGGAGGCTTGTAGGGTGTTCTGGGGGGGCAAAAATGAGGAAAAACAGCCCATTTTTTGCTCATTTCTGCCCTCCCCAGCCCCCAGGAGCTCTCTGAAAACCTCCTAAAGGCTATGCACGGCCATTTGGGTGAAGGGGGCGGGGTTTCAGGAGGCAAAAGAACGCTGTATTCAGTGTATAAGACGCACCCAGATTTTCAGCCTCTTTTTTGAGGGAAAGGGGTGCGTCTTATACTCTGAAAAATACGGTAATTCAGCATTTTGGTATCCAGGTATTTTGTCCAACCAGATTCAATGAAAGCATGGATGTGTCAAACTACCCTGATTGCAAGAAATTGCAAATATATGTAATGATTGTCCTCTTTCAGCCTGATTTTTAAAAAAAATGGATTCCACTACAGAATCCAGGGACAAACGATTCTGTCTGGTTTGAATTGCCCAAGACCAGAAATTGGCATAATGTTTTAGCAGTAATTGCTAAGCAGAGAGAAGGAACTGGGTCACTGAACCTGCTGTTTGTACAAATGTAGTGAACGAATGCTAGCAAATGTTCACTCACAGAAGGTGTGGGCAAAGCACAGTCCCCTTTTGCAACAGCCACACTATCTCTGTAATACACTGCCAAAATTCATTGGCAAAATGCTGCTTTCTAGCAATAATTTTAGTTGCTAATTTTTAAAAAAAGTTAATATTGGGTTGACTCTTGACTCAACTACATTAGGTTCTTCCTGAAATGAATAAAAAAATCACAATGGTTATGGCTGGCATTAAAGCAACTGTATCTTCTACAGGAATATACTGAGAAATTAGCCCCATTCTATAGCAAAATGGGGACTATTTTAAACAGAAAAAAAGGCCTCAAACAAGATAAAATATAACAAGTGCAGCTGTCTGTGAACACATTAACAGGTTTTATTTCACCAAGAGGAATCAATTCCCATTTTTAAAACAATAACCCCCCAAAAATCAAATAAATAGCAATAATAAATCTTACAAATTAATTCCAGAAACAGAGCATGTTCATCCCAATATAAACATTGCCATTTTAAAAACACACACGACATCCTCAAAGAATGCCTTTAGGGTTGTGTACTACTGGCAAGGAAGACTTGTTTCATTATTTATTATATTTATATGCTGCTCATCTCGATCTCAAATAATGCTGGGTGGCTTGTGACATGGTATTAAGGGCCTTACCTAGACACTCAGATCACTTCCACAAATTCTGTGGGTGTGATACTTGTAACTCTTATGCAGAAAAACCAACCACAAACATAATCGTGAGCATAAAACTTTCAAAACCTTCGTATATTGCAAATGCAGGGTGTTTTCTTTTTTTTCCAATGAAACAAGACCGCAATTTTTCAATGCCTGAGCTTTCACCTTGCCAAACTCACTATAACAGTGTTTATCCACCTTGGCAACTTTAAGCTGGGTGGACTTCAACAGAATTCTGGGAGTCGAAATCCAATTAGCTTTGGGATGGGAAGGTTGACACACACTTTGCTCTGTAAGGTTAAAACCAATGTGAGAGTCAGGAGGAATAACATGATATTTTGGGTACTTATCTGAATCTCTGTTCATATAGGTTGGTGATGGCGAACCTTTTCGGCACTGGGTGCCCAAACTGGAACACCTCCCTCTCCCTCCCTCCCTCCCTTTCCCTCTCTCTCTCTCTGCGTGTGCGTGTGCATGCATGCACACACGTGTGCGCGCCAGAGTCCTGGAAGCTGCAAGACCAGCTGGCCAGTGCACATGTGCATGCCAGAAGAGCAGCTGGTGATGGCGCACATGCCCACAGAGAGGGCTTTGCGTGCCACCTTTGGCACGTGCGCCATTGGTTCGCCATCACGGATATAGGTTATTGTTTCTCAACCTTTTAAGATGCCTGGACCACAACTCCCAGAATTCTCCAGCCAACCTGGGGTTGTTGTAGTCCACACATCTTAAAAATGCTAAGGTTGAGAGAAACTGACCCAAAGAGTTCCTGCTTTCACCCTTTCTAGCAAAGCGAATGTTGTGTACTAAGAAGCTAACTTGCAGAAAGGAATTAATTTAAAAGTCGAGTCATTGAGCTCCAGACGGTCCATTGTTTTGAACTCCCTGATTCTAACGCACACACTAGGCAAGGGAGCACCCGCACCACACTGAGGTTTGCTATATGCACCAAGTCTCTCTCCTCCTTGTCAGCGGAGGTTTTGCCATCAGGCCCCGGAGCAGGCGATGCTGTGCCATGAATCTTATGACATAATTCCAAAAACTGGATTGTGACGGCAAATGCCAGGACCGTATTCCTCGTAGGCTTTCTTGGTGTGACACACGTTGAAGAACTCTGGCTGAGAGGGAGAAAAATATGAAGGGTAGATCAGAAACCGCTGCGTGCGAAAAAGTACGATTAAGAAAATGAGGCAGTCCAGAACAAAAATAGATGCTACATGATCACCTTGACAGTGCATTTATCTCCCTTGGAAATAGCAGGAATTCACTACACGGGGCAAAGATCGATTGGAAGTTTATTTTGAAAGAAAGAGACACATATTCTCAAGATATTTTTTGCCACGAGCCCTTTTGGATTAGAAACAGAAATATAAAGAAAGCAATATAGAAAAGATTTATTCCATTTCTAGCACACATTATGCTACTATGCAAAGCGATCACATGGATGAAAACTTGCTAAAGTCTGCTATTGCACCATGATTTGTCAGAATAGAATAGAATAGGTTCCCCCCCTGTGCTATCACTATGCTAAACAACTAATTCCCACAACACCATCTTATGCCTTGAGTTGTCAAACCACCTGGTAGAGCTGTATTACTATTATCCCTCCTCTTTCCTATTACCTATTTCTTTAGCATCTAATACAGTGTTTCTCAACCTTGGCAACTTGAAGATGTCTGGACTTCAACTCCGCTGGCTGGGGAATTCTGAGAGTTGAAGTCCAGACATCTTCAAGTTGCCAAGGTTGAGAAACACTGATCTAATAACTGTGACTTCCTTGTTTCTTATCTTATGTTTTATATTGACTGCTTTTATTAGTATCCTGTTATGATTTATGTTGATTATTCAGTATGCTATGACTATCACTGTGTTGTATCTTATGATTTATGGTGATTGTATTTTTATGATCACGATCATGATTTATCACTTGTTGCTTATTCGCTGTGTGTACATTGTACCCTGAGAGGTTATCCTTGCATGTCCAATCATACTTGGCCAATAAAGAATTCTATTCTATTTGTCAAAAATCCCATCTGAACTTACTGTTTTTCCTTCCTTTCATTATCACCAGAAGGAGCAGTTCTGAACCTGAATTGGCTTGGGACTGTTCTAAATCAGACACTAAAAAGGCACCTTTTTGACTTTTCGTGAACTGAGCACAGAAAGTGTACCACGAGAGCAATTCAGTACACTGAGGGGTTAGTCAAGGCTCAAGGCAGGAGAAGGAAGCAGAGACGGTGGAGAAAGGAGATCAATATACGTATCCCAAGATAATGTTGCGGTATCCAGTCTGGGTTGGTCAACGGGACTAGAGATTTACCCTTCCAAGTCTTCAGACTCACGCTGGAGCGCATCATCAGGGACCTTCTCTCTACCAGAATGCACGCTTTGGGCTATTCCTGTGATGGCAAACTTATAGCACATGTTTCACAGGTGGCACACAGATCCCCCTCTGCGGGCAAGCAAGCCGTCACCCCGCTTCAGCTCCACTGCGCATGCGCGCACGCCTCCCACCAGCCAGTAAATTTTCAGGTTTGGCCATGCATGCGTGGGGGCGCATGTGGGAGACGTGTGTGCATACATGGGAGGGGGAGCAACGGGGTATTTGGCACAGGCCCCCCACAGCCCGTTATTGATCCCAGGAGGCTGCAGGGAGGCCTACCAAACTCAAAATGGGGCACGGGGGGAGGTGCAGAGTGGGCCCCCTACAGCCTGTTTTTTTCCCAGGAGGCTGCAGGGAGGCAGCCAAAATGGGGCGCGACAGGGTTGCACTCACATGTGCAGGGGGGGCAGGGTACAGGGGGTTGCGCGCAAATTGCATTTTGGGTGCGGGTGCTTGTGTCTGCTTTCGCTCACAACAACAAAAATGTTAGCCGTCACTGAGCTATTTTGTGCTTCCTATTTATGTGGTGCTGGGCTTTGAAAGCAAAAGTTCCCAACTGCAAACATCTTCAGATGTTTCGGACTACTTCTTATTAAATGCAGATCATCTTAGTTTGTAACCTGCAGAAAGTCCTCCACTTATGACCAAAATTGAACCTGGAATTATGATCATAAGATTGCGGTTGTTAAGTCAAGGCATCACTTGATCGGATTCAAAGTTATGGCTTTTCTTTTAAGTTAAAGCTGCAGTCACTAAGTAAATGCCATGATTGCTAAGCAAATCTGTTTTCCCAACAGACATTTTTTTTTGCTGAAAATTGGAAGCAAACACTAGAAACTGGCCAAAAAGAAAAAAGGGCAAAAATCACAGTTATATGACAGTGAGACAATGCAAAAGGCTGTAAAGATGAGCAGGTTGCCAAGTGCCCAAAATGTAATCATGTGATGTGATCATTGCAACTCTGAAAATGAGTCGGAGGTAGCTCTGGGGAGGTCCACTGAATAGTAATTAAGCAACCTGTTATAAGTCGAGGATTACCTGTAGGGTCTTTGGAATTAGACAAATTTAATATTTGTCTAAATCATATGAGGAACAGTTGCAGGAACTGGGTATGTCTAGTTTAATGAAAAGAAGGACTAGGGGAGACATGATAGCAGTGTTCCAATATCTCAGGGGTTGCCACAAAGAAGAGGTGGGAGTCAAGCTATTCTCCAAGGCACCTGAGGGTAGAACAAGAAGCAATGGGTGGAAACTAATCAAGGAGAGAAGCAACTTAGAACTCAGGAGAAATTTCCTGACAGTGAGAACAATTAATTAGTGGAACAGAAGTTGCCTCCAGAAGTTGTGAATGCCCCAACAATGGAAGTCTTTAAGAAGATGTTGGATAGCCATTTGTCTGAAGTGGTGTAGAGTTTCCTGCTTAGGCAGGGGGTTGGACTAGAAGACCTCCAAGGTCCCTGTTATTCTATTCTGTTCTATTCTGTTCCATTCCATTCCAATCAGATATCCTTAGAAGACATTAGCCTCTTTTTTTAACTGAGAAATGTAAAAAAAAAGGGGGGGGGGTGTTGGATTTTGCCTAACAAAATTTGCCTTCTCCACATTGATCTTATTAATGCAAAATGTAATCCCAACCAGCAATGGGAAAACAATGAGTTCATTTGCTGGTGGGAACAATAAAAGAGAAGCCAGTTTCTGTGCCTAGGAATCGAACAGATGATGTGCGGATTTTCCTGGACCAGCTGATTTAATAAAAGACATACCGTTGACGCAAGCATGGATCCGCCAAACCAGACGGCATAACGCTGCATGTGATGACTGATTACTTGAACTTCCACAGGTTTGGGCTGCAAAACACAAACAAAAGCAGAATATTATCAGAACACAACACAGGCTGAGTTAACCAGGCCTACCAGTTGGAACAGCACGCTGTGTTTAATGAGTTATTATGGGAGAAGAAATTCTGAATAACCATCTGTGCGGAATTAATGAAGCTGGCTCAGACTCCAGCAATGCAAATCTCCATGGCTCACTACCCAAGATTTGAGCTCTCCACTCCTAACGCAAGAAATTGTACCATTCTGCTAGAAAGAATGTAATTATGCTTGCCGGATTCAAGCACCCACCCAAATATTGTGGGTTCCACTATTTTTTTTTTCACACTATGGCTAGAATCACAGCTTGGACATCTATGGTCCAGTAACAGAGAAAATATTGGACTGTCTTTCTTTCTTTCTTTCTTTCTTTCTTTCTTTCTTTCTTTCTCTTTCATTCTTTCTTTCTTTCCCTTCCTGCCTTGACTCCTGGCAACTAGCTGGATAAAGTCCCTCAAGTTTTCTTGGCAAGATTTTCAGAAGTGATTTACCATTGCCTTGTCCCTAGGGCTGAGAAAGACTGACTGGCCCTAGGACACCAATTGGCTTTGGGCCTAAGGCAGAATCACAACTTATAGCCTCCCGGTTTTTAGCCTTAACTGCTACACCAAACTAACTCTCATTCATCCTCTACTCCACTCATATTAACCAGAATGAAATCCTTTGAGCCTTTTGCAGACAGACCTCTGACACCAAACACCTCATTTTTGTTACAAGGAAGCATAACTCTGGGCTGAAAATGTTCTAACATTTTCTGGATGTTGGCCATTTCTTTAAACCTGGAGAATTGGCCATAAATAATATAATGTTGTTCTTTGTGAATCATCTCAAAGCAGGATACTGGCCCCCCAAAAATGCAATTAGTATGCTTGTAAAAATATCATCTGATTTACAGGCCTTGCTAATCAGTTCAGGGTCCTCCCTTTGTTTGTTCGGGCATTTAATGGGAAATTAAAATGTACCTTTAATCGACCTCCACTAAGTTCTTCGCTGATTTTTAGCCGAGCGTCTACTACTCGTTTCAAGTCTCTCTGTAAGCGACGACCAAAATCTCTGAACATCGTAGATCCTCCGGAAAGCACCACATTCTACATGACAAAGAGATATTTGGGGGGCTTTAGATAATAAAAACCAACCTTTTTTTAAAAACAGATCTATGGATCTTCTCTCTAGGCTGTTCCTTGAGGAATAAGGTAAAGGTAAAATTTCCTCCGCACATGCGTGCTAGTCATTCCCAACTCTAGGGGGCGCTTCTCATCCCCGTTTCTAAGCCGAAGAGCCAGCACTGTCTGAAGATGTCTCTGTGGTCATGTGGCCGGCATGGGTAAATGCCAAAGGCGCATGGAACGCTGTTACCTTCCCACCAAAGGCAATCCTTATTTTTCTATTTGCATTTTTACATGCTTTCGAACTGCTAGGTTGGCAGAAGCTGGGACAAGTAACAGGAGCTCCATTACACGGCACTAGGGATTCGAACCGCCAAACTGCTGACCTTCTGATCGACAAGCTCAGTGTCTTAGCCACTGAGCCACCGCGTCCCCATCCTTGAGGAATAGCAGGACACAAATGTGATAGGCCAGGTACAGCCCTACAGGTAATTCTCAACTTACGACCATTAGTGGAATTATGTTCGCCAGTAGTTGGAATCATTAAGTGGGTCGCTATATGATCAGGGATGACTTTTTTTGTCGTGGTTGTTAAGCAAATGACAGGGTCTTTAAGTGAATCCATTTTTCCCCAAGGGCAGTTTTTACTGAAAACTAAAAGAAACATCGGAAACCAGCAAAAAAAAAATAATAATTGAAAATCAGCCATGTGACCACAGACCATAGCAAACAGCTGTAAAAATGAGTCGGTCGCCCCAAGCCTCCAAAATGTGATCACGTGATCACACGAGGGGGGGGATGTATATGCGGCCATTGTAATTTCAAAACCAGGTCTTAAGTGTCTTGGGAGGGGGGTGCCTTTAGTAGCTACAAATGATCACTAAGTGTCTACTAGTAAGTAAAGGACTAGTATTAAATGACATGATAGATCCACTGAGGATTATTCTGCAGGAAGATCGAATAAATCAATGGCCACCTCTGCACAATCAAGTGCAATCAATTTTTTTACAAGCTTGGCACTTATAAATATTTATAAGGTGCCTTTTTTTATAATATTATAATATTTATAAAAGGTGCCTTTTTTTTTGACACACCCGCCCCATCTATTTTCACATTGAGCGTCTGGACTTTTGACTTGCCTGGGCCTCACTGAGTGAAGAGGAATTTTCTTGGGCCGCATATAAAGTATATATAGTTTACTGTACATAAATTGCATAATAATGTTAAATTATGTGATTTATATACAGTAACTATATTTTAACTATAGTTTACAGTTATTATATTTTACTATACTATTCTATATACCAGGGGTAGTCAACCTTTTTATACCTACTGCCCACTTTTGTATCTCTGTTAGTAGTAAAATTTTCTAACTGCCCACCGGTTCCACAGTAATGGTGATTTATAAAGTAGGGAAGTAACTTTACTTTATAAAGTTTATAAAGCAGAGTTATAGCAAACCCCTACCGCCCACCATGAAAGCAGGAACACCCACTAGTGGGCGGTAGGGACCAGGTTGACTACCACTGCTATATACTATAAATATATAGTAACTATACAGTAACTACATTTTACTATAAATACATAACATTATTATGTGATTTATATACAGTAACTGTATATTTGAATTTTAATTTTAATAAATAGCAGTAGACTTATATACCGCTTCATAGGGCTTTCAGCCCTCTCTAAGCGGTTTACAGAGAGTCAGCATATTGCCCCCAACAATCCGGGTCCTCATTTTACCCACCTCGGAAGGATGGAAGGCTGAGTCAACCCTGAGCCGGTGAGATTTGAACCGCTGAACTGCTGATCTAGCAGTAGCCTGCAGTGCTGCATTTAACCACTGCGCCACCTCGGCATAAACTTATATGCCACTCAATCCCGAAGGACTCCAGGCGGCTTACATAAAAGACAATTTAAAAAGTACTAAAAAGTTTAAAAAATAAAAAGAACAAAGCAAGTTAAAACACAACACACTCAACCGTAGTGGGGCTGGACCTCATTCAAGAGGTCAACAGCCCCAGGCCTGCCGGAAAAGCCAGGTCTTAATAGACTTTTTGAAGGCCGCGAGAGTTGGGAGGGTCTGGATATCCGGGGGTAGATCATTCCACAGGGCCGGAGCAGCTACAGAGAAGGCTCTCCCCCGAGGGGCCGCCAAACGACATTGTCTAGTTGACGGTACCCGGAGAAGGCCCACCCTGTGAGATCTTATTGGTCGCTGGGAAGTATGTGGCAGAAGACGGTCCCGTAGATATCCAGGCCCTAAGCCATGTAGGGCTTTAAAGGTAAAGGTATAATTTATATATGGCCCAAGCCCATTCCTCTTCAGTACATATATCTTGAGCTATATTACCAGCTGTCTGTGGGCTATGCACTGTACAAAGCCTGATTTAAAACATTTTTATCGAATTATAATCTAAGATTATAAGCAAAGGCAATGAATACATATAAATGCCAACCATTAGGAGACGAAGTTAATTCCTGTAAATCTCATCAAATACAGCCTTCTTACTGCAGCTGATCAACAGTTGCCCATTCCTAAAGGCTCTCAAAATTATTTTGATCACGTTTTTTCAACTATGTGTGAGGTAACTCTTCCAGTATTCAGGATGTAGCTTAACAATAAGCATCTCCTTTACAAAATGAATTGAAGCAAAACTGAAAGAAAACAGCAGCCAGGTTGGAGAAGGAATGAATTAATTAATGCATGGACCATTGTTTCTCAACCTTGGCTACTTTAAGATGGATGGACTTCAACACCCAGAATTCCCCAGCCAGCTTGTGGGAGTTGAACCCAACACATCTTAAACTTGTCAAGTTTAGAAACATCACAGGATTAAAACTCGTAGCGTCACATTGCCGTCACATGACGTATCATGACATTTTTCCTCTTCACGGAACTGGGGGTGTGTGGCCTATGGGTGACGCATCCAGCCCTTGGGATGCCAGTTTGACCCCCCCCCCCCTGGTCTAAACCAACACACTGTAAAAGCTTAAATGAAAATTAATAAGATATTTCAGAACAAAGAATACCAAATTTTCCTAATTGAGAAGATCATAGTCATCTTACCTCACCTGATAATTTACTTTAGTCTATAGAGGAGTATACAGTTTTATTATGTTTAATAGACTTAAGGCCCAATCTTTTTCCCTCACATGGGTACTAATTAAACGGATGTGGATTTTGAGAAAATGGTTGCTTTCGTTCAAATGGCTAGCAACACTAATGAGAATTAAAAGTAAAGGAAAAGGTTCCCCTTGCACATATGTTGGAGTCGTTCACAACTCTAGGGGGCAGTGCTCATCTCCATTTTAAAGTCGAAGAGCCAACGCTGTCCGAAGACATCTCCATGGTCATGTGGCCGGCATGACTAAACACCGAAAGCACAATGCTGTTACCTTCCCACCAAGGTGGTTCATATATTTCTACTTGCATTTTTACATGCTTCCAAACTGCTTGGTTGACAGAAGCTGGGCCAAGTAACGGGAGCTCACTCTGTTATGCAGCACTAGGGATTCGAACCGCCGAACTGCCAACTTTTCTGATCAACAGGCTCAGCGTCTTAGCCACTGAGCAACCGTGTCCCTATGAGAATTAGCTTTTATTAATTCCTTCATCTCAGCTACAGCAATACAGCAGTCCTCTGATCATGAACATAAGACCATGACCGAAAACACATTACTTACAACTGGTCCTCATATTTACGACTTTCACAACATCCCCACAGTCACATGAACAAATTCGAGTGCTTGTCCACTGGCATGTACTATATGTCTGAAGGTTGCAGCATCCAAGGGTTATGTGATCACCTTTTGTGACTTTTCAAGCCACCTTCCAACAAGCAAAGTCCATGGGGGAATCCGTATTCATTTAACAACTGGGTGATTCATTTCACCCTGGGGTGGTTCACTTAACAACCATGACAAAAAGATCACAAAATTGGGCATGACTCACTTAACAGCAGTAATTCTGGTTGCAGTTGTGGTCATAAGTCAAGGAATGTAAAAAATGTCTGCTACCTAAGAGCAAATGAATCTGGAATCGTTGGTAAGATCTACCTAAACACTGGAGAAGAGAATCAGGGAATTTACTACAGCACATACAGTATAAATCCAGTTGATGATGGATTATGGGAAGCTGATGAATTTTGAAGCAGAAGATGGTCTCCATAATTTCTACATTTAACTGCAGTACCCAGGGTAAAATGATTTTAATAATAATGTACTATAAAGCTGAAGGTCAGAAGACTAAGTGAAACTTTTGGTTGATCCATCCATTATTCATGGAGAAAAGTTTAGCAGTTAATAACAAAAGAGTAATAAGGTAGGTGCGAATGTTACCTAGAAATCCTTGTATGGTGAATGTACAACAGAACTAATTAATCCACACATGTTATAGCCAGAGGTGAGTTGCCGCCAGTTCAGTCCGGATCAGTTGAATCGGTACTAGCGGTGGCAGGAGGCTCCACCCATACACCCGGACACTTCTGTGCATGCGCAAAAACTCCCAAAACACTAATAACAAATTAGGCAACTCACCACTGGTTATAACTAGAAAGCAGTACCAATTTAAGGTATACAAAAAAAAATAATCATTTAGAATTCCTCCTATAAAGCTGTTTCAAGACAACTTCTACTGCGAAACGGTATTGCTTCATTCATGAAATCAAGAAGGGGTCTTCTTCTTCTGAGGGGGTCTTCTGCCTTCTGAGTCCCCTTCGGGGGAAAAGGGCAGCATATAAATATAATAAACTGAACTTCTTCAGTGGACAGTTTCCAGTTTCCCCTTTTCATTCTTGATAATAATTAAATGTCAAGATACACAATAGAAAAACTGGAGACTATCCAAAGAGGATGACCCCAGATCACTATTAACAAGGTCCTTGCTACTCTCTGAGCTTGGTAGTTTTCTTGCGGACGTTTCATTGCCCAACTAGGTAACATAATCAATGCAAGTACAGGAGCAAATCCCACACTCTCTAGCACTGATGAGGTTAGTAAATTGACTTAGACTTATAATGAAACATCTGTAAGAAAACAACCAGAGCACCAAGGATGCCAAAGTTAAATCCAGAACTACAAATATTCTCTTCTCTTGGTAACACTATAAAGTCTTCAGAGTGATTTATAGCCCTGCTTCCAATGTCATCTAAGGATTTTCAACAGATAGTGATGAATGAGAATCAGCAGAGCTGAACTCTCTTTAGTTAAGGAATATTTCACTCAATAATCTACTGTTTTCGTTGTTTTTCATTAGCTACCTAATGAAATTTTACAAATAATGATTTTACTAATCTGAGAACAATTTATTTTTATTGTGATTTTATTTATCTCGTTTTTATTTATTTTCCTGCAACAAGGTTATATTCCTAATGTAAACAGTTTTGTTTCATCTACAATTATTTGGCCAAACTTTTAAACTTTCTTCTTTTCCTAAACTTTATGAGGTTTGTTTTTTTATAGCCACATGAGGGGGCTCCAAGATAAGGAATAAATTTGGGGGTTTTCCATTTTGGAAATTAAATTTAAATTAAGATAGGCAGACAGAGTTTGGGTTTTAGTATAAACAACAATATTTTTTTAAAAAAACTTTTTAAGAACTAGGCTGTAGCCTTCTTTTAAAGGCTTTCATTATATCTTTTTTCTTACACTATTATCTGGAATTTATATATTGTAAGGGACGTCGTGGCTCAGTGGCTAAGATGCTGATTTTGTCAATCAGAAAGGTCAGCAGTTTGGCAGTTTGAATCCCTACCGCCACATAACGGAGTGAGCTCCCATTACTTGTCCCAGCTTCTACCAACGTAGCAATCGAAGGCACATAAAAATGCAAGTAGAAAAATAGGAACCACCTTTGGTGGGAAGGTAACATTGTTCCGTGCACCTTAGGTATTTAAACATGCCAGCCACATGACCATGGATACGTCTGGACAGCACTGGCTCTTCGGCTTTGAAACAGAGATGAGCACTGCCCCCTAGAGCCGGGAACGACTAGCACATATGCGCAAGAGGAACCTTTACCTTTAATCTATATCTTTTTTTAAACTTTGTTATGTTACGCTTAACTGGGAGCCAAAACTGAAAAGGCTCTTCTTTTGGGCCTCGCCAGTCGAAGATATGTGGCCAATGGGATCCAAAATAACCCATTTCCGCTGGAATGAGTGAGGCTGTTAATACTACTGAGGTAAATTCCTCAGATACTCTGAACCCATGCCATAAAGGCCTTTGAAAATTACAGCTTTGTTTCTTGGGCAGAATCACTTCCTCCTTTTCCCCAAGATTATCCATGCATTCCATTAGAAAAAGGTTTTCTCTCCCCAGGACAGGAAAGAGACATCATAAAAAAACATATTGGAACTTTGTTGAACAGGATATAATACTAGAACCTTGAAGACTGCCTAATATATTTTTTTTCTCCTCTTTATACTAAAGAGAATCAAGACAGGGCAATCAAGTGTTTTCCTCACCCTCTCCTGTCTACCTGGGCTAAGTAGATATTCACACAGAAGTCATGGATTGCCTTCTTCAAGACAACCTCTGTCCCCGGACAGCTTCTGTACACACCACCGATGATGCAAATAGAATGCTTGAGCCATTAGAAGAAAAGATTGAAGACAAGGAACACAGAGAAGACAGACAGAACTACGCTCTCTTCATAAATGGACTTGATAATTAACATCATGTATCAAATTAAAAAGTTCTCAGCTGATCCTAATGGTTGAGCAGCCCATTTAAAAGGAAACAAATGAAGCTAATAAAATTTTAAAAATACAGTTATTACATGTCTTTAAGAGAGAGAGGTGAACATAGAGAATGTTAACCCGTTGGGATGTAAGTGATCAAGCGAAAGAGAAACACAATTCAATATAAGTAAGTGTAAAATGATCCACAATGGAGCTAATTATTCTAGGTAAAGGTAAAAGTTCCCCTTGCACATATGTGCTAGTTGTTCCTGACTCTAGGGGGCGGTGCTCATCTCCGTTTCAAAGCCAAAGAGCCAGCGCTGTCCAAAGATGTCTCTGTGGTCATGTGGCCAGTACGACTCAACGCCAAAAGTCCATGGAATGTTGTGTTACCTTCCCATCAAACGTGGTTCCTTTTAAATTACCATGCCAGTGAGATGAGCAGGCTCCAAATTTAATATAATAAGCAAATAAAAAGTAAATGTGTGATTTTTCCTACTTTTCCAAGGACTGATGAGCTGTAAAAGCATGAGAAAAGCTGAATCCATAGCTGGATACCTAACAATCTTCAGAAATGTTCAGTGTTCGAATAACACTGAAAATAAAACCAGCTTTCCCAAAAGTATGTTTTCAAGATCATAATCATAATTTCTGTTTATCCCTCTATCTACAAGATACTGATCAAACCAGCAGGGAGATACACAAAGTGTGAGACTCCAAATTTCACCTGAATGTCATTTAATCATCCTTTCTCCCCGTGTACCTTATACAAAGGACGCCGAACATCAATGGGACAGTTCTGTATAACATCATCCACCACATTCGAAATAGAGTCCACAAAATCTGGATTGGCAAACTAAAAATAAACAAGAGAGGCAGATAATCAATTAATACAGATATAGGAGGTCCTGTGATTATGACAATTGGTTTAAGCTTATTAAACAGCTGAAGTTATTAACATCTACAAAAAGTGTACAGGTAATTCTCGAATTACAGCCATTGGTTTAATGACCATTGAAAGTTACACCGCAGCTGAAAAAAAGTGACTTATGACTGGTACTTGCACTTATGACTGTGACAGCAACCCCCTAGTCATGTGATCATAACTCTGGTTTTTGGCAATGGACATGTATCTACAATGGCTGCAGCATCCTGCTGTCGTATGATTTTCATTTGGGACTTGGGGGGGGGGGATTTCCTTTATAACTGTGTGATTCATTTAAGAACCATGGCAAAAAGGTAAAATAAGGCGCAACTCATTTAACAACCACATGACACAGTGGCAGATACTCCAGACCCAATTTTGGTCATAAGTCTGCACTTAAATTCCTCCCTTGGGATGTGGAAAGATCCGTTGTGGGTGAGCAAGGGAGGGAGGTGACATACAACCAGCAGTAACAACAAGGAACTGTCAAAAGATGTGGGGGGCATCTTCTGGATTCCACACCGCAGGGCAGGGAAGCATAATTTACTTCTCCCCTTCTCTGCTGGGTTAGAAAATTGACAAGTTTATCCACTTTCTGATCTGGTTTATAAAGACTGACATCATCTGAGCTCCTGATAAACAAAGCCAGCTGAGTTTGTCAATAACAGCTCTTACATTTTAACAAAATAACAGAGTTGGAAGGGACCTTAGAGGTCTTCTAGTTCAACCCCCTGTTCAAGCAGGAAACCCTATACCATTTCAGACAGATGTTTGTGCAGCAGAGGTGGGTTCCTACTGGTTTGGGCCGGTTCAGCCAAACCAGTAGTTGTTTGCTGGCCTGGGTCGCTGGAACCAGCATTGACCCAGGCCTGTCACACCTCCGAACCGGTTCTCCAGTTGGTGCAGAATGCTTTTTTGTCCCCCTTTTTTAATGTTCTGTGCATGCACAGATCTATTTTCAGGCAACTGCGCATGCGCATGGAGCAAAATTATGGGCGCACCGAACCAGCAGTAATGCCGGCAGCAATCCACTTCCGTTGTGCAGCCTCCTCTTAAAAAGAGTTTCTCACGGACAAGATGACCAACCATTCTGGTTTTCTTGGATCATCTTAGTTTCTGCTTGTTATCGTAGCATTTCCATCTACTTTTGTTCTGGATTTTTCATTTCTTAATGAAGTCAGTAACAGTTGTTTACTAGCAAAGCAAGGCCAGTAGTTTGTGAATGCAAAACCAGCCCCAGGCACCCCCCTACTATTCTTCCCTTGCAAGGTCGCTGGGCAGATACGCCCTTCTTCCGCCACAGCAGCTGACTTATGTGCCATGTCTGTTTTTCCCGTGATCTAGTTTTCCACTTTTCCCAGCGCAACAGGCTTGGTTTGGACGATAAATGGTATGGTCATACTACTCGTGAATCTTAACTGTAGCCATTAATTCTGCTTTTCCAAGAAGAGGTGGCCCAAAGATATGAACACCCTTCTGTCAAAAACAAACATCATGTCAAAAAACCGAAAGAATTAATTTGATGCCGTTCTACAGTACCTAAAGCAGCATTTTTCAATTTTGGGAACTTTAGAATGTGTGGACTTCAACTCCCAGAATTCCCCAGCTAGCCTCCCTTCAATTCTAGGAGTTGAAGTCCATACATCTTAAAGTTATTAAGGTTGAGAATGACTAACCTACATCAAAGATATACATTTTCTAACACTATTAGAAAATAATTTGGCCACAAGATGGTGCCTTACTCTCATAAGTGTCATTGCCTTCTTTCCTTCCTGCCTGCCTCATTCCTGCCTTCCTGCTTTCTTACCACCACCCTTACAACAACTACTACTACTATTTATTACTGTGGTACAGCAATATTGTCTCTTACCTCTGGATGAAAGAAGACCTCTGGCCCAAGGAATCTTTCATAACCAACGTCTATCGTAAATGTGCTTCTATTGATGGCATTGATTCCTGTGTATTGCTTAATCCATTTGTGGGGGTCAACATCATACTTTGCAAATTCTTTTACTATGTCAGGACAAATATAACAGTACTTTTCCTGTCAATAGTGCAAAAAAAAAAAGAAGGAAAATGTTTGTTTCATTGGATGAAAGAAGGTGAGATTAAAAATGTAATTTCTTTAGAAGTGATTTTGCATTACAGCTGCAGCTGCAGGAGCTGGTTTGGAGATCCCACATTGTACAATGTTGTGAAAAACTGTTTATTATCAGGATCTGAAAGCCATGAGTGGTGGTGGTGGAGGTGGAGGAGGAGGAGGAGGAGGGGGAGGAGGAGGGGAGGGGGAGGAGGGGGAGGAACTGGTGAGCAATGTTGATTTAATAGGGTTGGGCAATATTTTGCATTTCAAGGCAGCCCCTTCAAATTGCTGTTGTTGTTTTCCTAAAAATCACATGGCTATTGTGTCATGCAGGATCTGCTGAATAGGCAAAAGAAGAACTAAAGCACTTTTTAAGTCCAAAACATCAACATAACATTTGGAAGGGGATCAGGAAAATTCTTCCCTTGTTCATTGAACTATAAAGATGGCGTACAGCTCAATCAGACTTGCAAGATTCTGTTATTACATCCAATCTCAATAAAAATAATTTTATTCCCTGTGGAGTTGATTTCCCAGTCAAGTCCATCTAGTGAGGCTGACACGTTCATTTCCCAATGTGCTGGGAGTTGACATCCAACCATTTTAAAAGTTTATTATTATTATTATTATATATACTTCATTCATAAAAGATGAATCTCAGCCAACTGAACGTTCAAAAATGCATTACAAATACCAGTGACCGTTGCTAATGGTTGATACGGTTATTATTATTTCCCCTTTACTATTTTTATAAATAATTCAAGGTGGCAAAGATACCTAATCAGTGGTGAAATTCAAATTTTTTTACTACTGGTTCTGCGGGCGTAGCTTGGTGAGTGTGGCTTAGTGGGCGTGGCAGGGGAAGGATACTGCAAAATCTCCATTCCCATCCCACTCTGGGGCCAGCCAGAGGTGGCATTTGCCGGTTCTCCAAACTACTCAAAATTTCCGCTACCAGTTCTGCTGGATTTCACACTGTACCTAATACTCTTTCCTCCTCTTATATTCCCCACAACAACCCTGTGAAGTGAGTTGGGCTGAGAGACTGACTGGCCCAAGGTAACTCAGTCAGCTTTCCATGGCTAAGGCAGGATGAGAACTCAGAGTCTTTGGCGATTGGCCCAAAGATACCCAACCAGTTTTCATGCCTAAGGTTGAACTAGAACTCACACTCTCCTGATGATTGGTTCAAAGATACCCAGCTAGTTTTCACACCTAGGCCAGGACTCAGAGTCTCCAGGTTTTTAGCCTTAACTACTAGAAACGCTAAGCCAGGGATGTCAAATTGACAGCTCGCGGGCCGGATGCATCACACACAGGCCACGCCCATCCCCGCTCTGCAAAGGCAAAGAACGTCACAATCAATACAACAGGCGACATCATGTGACATGATCAAGTTTGATACCCACGCACTAAGCACTTCCTTGTCTCCAAAGGTGGCCTTCACGAAAGATCCCAGTTCCTAAGCAGGCTACTCCAAGGATTTTGGAAGTGTTTGGAAGTAAGTGTTGGAGCACTTCCTGTGAAAAGCAATCTGTTTTGAGACTAGAGCAACCTATTCTGGGATTAAGGTATTCTGCGATAGAACATTTTACAACTCCCTTGTACCATCCTCTTAAAATGAATGCGCTATCCAGAGGCCACGGGAAGCACCCTTTACATTACCGATTCCCCCAAAATCTGTTCTGCAGAATTTAGTGAAATAGAAAAGTATTTACCTTTATAGCTTTTGCTGTCTCCAGGGATTGCTCCGGAGGAATTCCCATCTCCCTTTCCCTTAGGAGTTGCTGAATAAAATACGTGATGTCTCTTCCGGCAACGGGGATGTGCTTGATGCAGCTGCCAATCACGTAACCTTCTGCCTTCCAAAGGGGGGGAAAAGTTACTTAGCTTTAGACTTCCAACAGTAACCAGTTCAGAATTTGGGGCTGAATGCATTCTGCTTTTCAATCAATTATGGTAGTCCTTGACTTGCAACCCACAGTTGGGACCAGAATTTCCACTATTAAGCAAGCATCGACTAACAATTCCCTTGTTGTTAAGTGAATTGCACTTCATTTTGTGTCATTTTTGTCATGGTTTGTCAAGTCAATCACTGCAGTTGCTAAGTGATTCTAGATTACCACATTGACTTTGCTTGTTGGAAGCTAGCTGGGAAGGTTGCAAATGGTGATCATGTGAGCTCAGGACACAGCAACCATTGAAAATACAGGCCCATTGCCAAGCACCCAAATTTTAATCAGTTGACCATGGGGATGCTATAACAGTTGTAAGGACGAGCACTGGTTGTAAGTCTTTTTTTTTCAGTACTCTTGTTGCTTCAAATGGTCCCTGAATGAGTAAATCAAGGATTATCTGTACCTACCTAACAGAGTTTCAGATTTTAGCTTTTCAAAGTGCATCCTCTACCTGCAAAATGAGGAAGCTATGGAAACACAATAACTGAACTTATGATATAATTAGACATAATGGGTCTAAAAACAACCTGCAGTTAGTCCTCAGAAGATGACCATAAGGGAGCCTATTTGGTAAGGCCATATGTTGTGGCAGTGCAAATCAGGTTGGTTATGTGACCATCCCGATTTTGCAAACTTTTTTGCAGCAGGGGTTAAGCAAGCATGGCAGCCATTAAATGAACAGCATGACCATTAAGCGAACTCAAAGTTGGCTATGGAATGGCCAACTATCATAAAAGAGGGTCACATGGGCACTGCAAACAGCCATAAATATGGCCGTTTTGCTCAACGCCCAAGGTACAGTCGTGTGACTGGAGGAGTGGCCATTGAAACTTTGGAAATGGATCATAATATCCCCTAGAGCAGGGGTCGGCAAACTTAAACACTCAAAGAGCCATTTGGAACTGTTTCCCACAGAAAAGAAAACACCGGGAGCCACAAAGGTCCTTACCGGAAGCCTCCTGTTCAATTCTGCAGCTGACCGGAAGTTCAGTTCCCCACCACCACCACCATTGAGTCCCTTTCTAGCACAGCGTACATTTTCCTCTACTTGTCATAACCGAAAGCCCTATCAATTGTGGAGACAACTGGAAAACCCTCCCCTTGCCATAGAGTCTTCTCCTGGCGCACTATGCTTCTCTTCTCCCACCAGAAGCTCCTCTCAAAATTGTTGCGCCGACCGGTGACAGAGCCGCAGCAGAGGGAGGAAAGAGCTACATGCGGCTCCAGAGCCGCAGTTTATGACCCCTGCCCTAGAGAGGTTCATTATAACATGAAACCTATCGGGGATGGGCTTCAAAAAGTTTAGCAAGGGGTTCTCTGCCCGGTTGCTGGGTGGGTATGACCATGTGGGTGTGGCCTGGTCAGCCTCCTGCAACTTGGGAGGGGAGCATTTTTGCCCTCCCTGGGCTCCAGAGACTTTTTTCGAGCCTTTGGGAGGACAAAAACAGCCTCTTCAGGCTATAGAGGCCCTCTGGAGGCAGGAAACCAGCCCGTTTCTGACTTTTTCAAACTTCTGGTAGGCCTGTTTTTCCCTCCCCCCCCCCCCGAGCCTTCATGCACACCCTGCACTTAGCTTTATCCAAAATGGGCGGCGTGGGGATTCCCGTGGCACGACATAACCGCGAACGTCAAAAGCGCACCAACAACACCGCAGCGCTAAAACCGTGATGTCAAAAGCGCACCGACAATAGCGCGCCAACAACAGCGCGCCGACAGAAGCGCGATTTAACTTAAGGTAAGGTTTAGGGTTAGGTTTAGGGTTAGGTTTAGGGTTAGGTTTAGGGTTAGGTTTAGGGTAGGTTTAGGGTAGGTTTAGCGTTAGGTTTAGGGTTAGGTTTAGGGTTATTTTTAGGGTTATGTTACAGCGCGCTTCTGTCGGCACGCTGTTGTCGGCACGCTGTTGTCGCGCGGTTTTGACGGTGCGGTTTTGTCACCGCGCTTTAGTCACACGCGCTTCAGTCTACCGCGGTTTTGTGGTGGAACCAGGGATTCCTGGGAGGGGAAGGAGCCAGCCAGGAGTGGGATTTGGGAGTTCTCCGAACTGCACAGAATCTTAGCTAGAAGTTCTCCCAAACCCCTGCGAACTCCCATCAGCCCACCCCAAAACTTACCAATTTTTTATGTGTCCAATAGATTATGGCAAGAGTGACCTCAGTGTGTGAAGCTCATGGCAACAGTCCATTGTACTGCTAAAGCTGCAATCTTGACATTTTTTTATCTTACCCTATGAATATCCTTTGGTTTTGAAGACTATGTGGGGACTTTTGCCCTCTTTTTTTTCAAATAGCAATGCCAAAGACATACTATGCCACCACATTCTGCAACCCGAAAAGCAAATGGAAAATATTGCAGTGAAAATAATCTCTGGAGATATTTTTGTGGAATACGGATGACTGCATACAAAATCCCCTCTCCCTTGGCATAAGACCTTGAAATACTGCTCATTATATTCTCCATTTCCAACTTGGTCCAAATCCACCATATTGGCACTAGGGAATGGGTAGGCATCTAAGATTAGATCTAAGATCTTTGCCACAGAGATCGATTATATCCACCTGGCCCATCGGAGCAGGAAAGCAAGACACTGATCAAGGTCCCATCTATCAAGGAAGTCTATCTGGTGGGACCTAGAAAAAGGGCCTTCTCTGTGGTGGCTCCCTTCTCTTGGAACATCATTCCCCCAGAGATAAGATTGGCCCCCACCTGATTATTTTGATACAAGTCCTTGAAGGCATAGTTTTGTCAGTGGGCTTTAAGAACTGATCAAGTATTTTATCTGAATCTGTTGTTGACACCTCTAGATGATAAAGGTAAAGGTTCCCCTCGAACATATTTGCTAGTCGTTCCCGACTCTAGGGGGGCGGTGCTCATCTTCGTTTCAAAGCCGAAGAGCCAGCGCTGTCTGAAGAGGTCTCTGTGGTCATGTGGTCGGCATGACTGGACGCCAAAGGCACACAAAACGCTGTTACCTTCCCTCCAAAGGTGGCTCCTATTTTTCTACTTGCATTTTTTACGTGCTTTCAAACTGCTAGGTTGGCAGAAGCTGGGACAAGTAATGGGCGCTGCCTCCGTTAGGGGGCGCTATGGATTCAAACCGCCGAACTGCCAACCTTTGTGATTGACAAGCTCAGCGTCTTAGCCACTGAGCCACCACGTCCCTTGCCTTCTAGATGGAGGAGGGTGTTAAAATTATTAACAGTGGATTTTTATTGCTGTATGCCACCCGTAGTCACAATGTGTGAGTTGAGGGCTATATAGATTTGTTTAATAAATAAATAGCTTTCTCAGGAAAAATTGGTCAAATTCATTCAAAAGTTTTAGAGCCACAGAGGTCTTTTTAAATGTCTGTCAGCATTTTAAGTACTCTGTAGGCTGATTTTTTGTTCCTGTTTATCTAAACAGGTTTAATTGGGTGATTCCTAATTCAGTAACCCTTTTTTTTTCCTCTCAAATATTATTGCATTTTTAAAAAAAAATTAAGTAGAGGCTGATTCTGGAGAGGTGAAAGGTACATACAAAACTCTGGACCTTTTTTAACAAGTAAATTAAAGAATAAAAGCAGTTAAAAAATACCCAACTAGCATTTCAGGGATGGCTTGCAGCCAAAAATGTTTTTTATTAAATTTATATTATGGAAGTCACTTTTTTAAAGAAATATTGATTTAAATACTGAATAGATATGAAACTGTGACATGTTTTGGATAGCTGAAAAATAAACTTTTGCCTGTTTTTAAAGAGCAAGCAAAATGTTCCAGGTTGGGCAAATTGAAGAGAAGTACAGAAAGTCCTCAACTTATAACAATTTGTTTATTGAACATTCAAAGTTACAACAGCACTGAGAGAGTGACTTATGACTCTTTTTCACACTTATGACCATTGCTGCATCCCCATGGTCACATGACCAAAATTTGGATGCTTGGCAACTGACTCATATTTATGACAGTTGCAGTATTCCCAGGGTCATGTGATCCCTTTTGTGACTTTTTGAAAAGGAAAGTTCATTGAGATTCACTTAACAACCGTGGTACTCTTAAAAACTGCAGTGATTCACTTAATAACCACGGCGACAGCGGTTGTAAAACGGAGCCAAATTCACTTAACAAATGCCTTGCTTAGCAACAAATGGCTAAAAAAAAGATGCATCGTTTGCAAAGCTCACATAACTGCTCGAGAAGTGAGTCTCGGTCATTTTTTAGTACATGTGCAAAATAGTTCCTTGAATAACTCAGTTTTACATATTGACTCCTGTGTGTTGCAAACAGTCCTCTGAAATGCAGTAATCAGTAATTAGTATAGTGCAGCTGAAGATATTTGATTTTGTTATAAATGTCTATTTCCTATTTTGAAGAGAGAATGCTGATGCAGGAGGGTGTGTTTGTGTCAAAAAAAAAAAAAGTAAAGGGGGCACACAACCGTGCAGTTTTTTGACACTCCTGCAAACCCCCCTGGCGGAGAGTGTCCAGATCATAAATTCTATGATTTCAGATACGATGCAGAAGGTTCTGGAAGCAGATGTGTTTGCTTTAAAGATACATCCACAGATACAGAAGTAGTATTCAGCTGGTTCAGACCGGTTCGGGCGAACTGGTAGCTCACTAATTCTGATGGCCACACCCGCCCTATCCTGTTTGTTATTTCCTGCTTTCTAGCTCATCACAATCATGCAGCATAGCTGATTCCCCCCCCCCCCCCCCTTTTCGCTGTTCTACTTACCATTGCTGACTTGGAAAGTAAGCAGCTGAGCTTCTAAATGCTCCATTTTCGGTGCTGCACGCAAGCGCACGTGCGCACGCAATGCACACACTTAGCAAACCAGTTGTTAAACCACTGCACAGATAAGTGTTGTCTTCACATTCCTATGTCTTCCCAAGTACATCTTCCAAAGCAATTGCACTGCTTTAACACATTTCTATAACTTACTTTCTGGTGCAATCAGCAGGACCCCAAAACAACAGCAACAACAACAAAAAACATGGGTGCTTCCTTAACTTATGACCACAACTGAGAGTGGAATTTCTATCATAAATCATTGCAGTCTTGTCAGTTTGGACCAGTGGTGGGTTTCAATTTATTTTAGAACCTCTTCTGTGGGTGTGGCCTGCTTTGTGGGAGTGGCTGGCTGACCATGTGACTGAGTGGGAGTGGCTTGCCAGCCATGTGACTGGGTGAGCGTGGCCAACTTGTAAAATGTGGTGAAACTCACTTAACAACACTCTTGCTTAGCAACCCAAATGTTGGCTCAGAAACTCTGGAATTTGAAGCACGCAAGTCTTAAAGCTATCAAGTTACAAGACCCTTGCAATTTTGGGCCAGCTTTAAGACTTGTGGACTTCAACTCCCAGAATTCCTCCTCCAGTCATGTTGGCTCAGGAACTCTGGCATTGAAGTGTGCAAGTCTTAAAGCTGTCAAGTTACAAGACCCTTGCAATTTTGGGCCAGCTTTAAGACTTGTGGACTTCAACTCCCAGAATTCCTCCTCCAGTCATGTTGGCTCAGGAACTCTGGCATTGAAGTGTGCAAGTCTTAAAGCTGTCGAGTTACAAGACCCTTGCACCCCTAACCCTTTAGGGGTGTTCAAAGTTGACAGCTTTAAGACTTGTGGACTTCAACTCCCAGAATTTCTCCATCAGTCATGTTAGCTCAGGAACTCTGGCATTGAAGTGTGCAAGTCTTAAAGCTGTCAAGTTACAAGACCCTTGCACCCGTAACCCTTTAGAAAAGAAATCAAAGGGATGTTCAAACTTGACAGCTTTAATACTTGTGGACTTCAACTCCCAGAATTCCTCCTCCAGTCATGTTGGCTCAGGAACTCTGGCATTGAAGTGTGCAAGTCTTAAAGCTGTCAAGTTACAAGACCCTTGCACCCGTAACCCTTTAGAAAAAAAATCAAAGGGATGTTCAAACTTGACAGCTTTAATACTTGTGGACTTCAACTCCCAGAATTCCTCCTCCAGTCATGTTGGCTCAGGAACTCTGGCATTGAAATGTGCAAGTCTTACAGCTGC